AGAATTAACCATTTGTTTATTTTTGCTTTTTTTTTTTTTTGCCATTTGTTGATTTACATTCCCATTCTCCTTTCCTTTTTGGCAACCATCAGCTTGTTCTCTATATTTATGTGTCTGTTTCTGTTTTGTTTTTTCATTTGTTCTGCTTTTTAAGATTCCACATATAAGTGAAATCATACAGTTTTTATCTTTCTCTGACTTGTTTCATTTAGCATAATACTCTCTAGGACCATCCATGTTGTTGCAAATTGCAAGATTTCATTTGTTTAAAAAATATTTTTATTGATTACAGAGAGGAAGGGAGAGGGAGAGAGAGAAACATCAATGATGAGAGAGAATCATTGACTGGCTGCCTCCTGCACACCCCCTACTGAAGATCAAGCCCTCAACCCATGCATGTGCCCTTGACCGGAATCAAACCTGGGACCCTTCAGTCCTCAGGCTGACACTCTATCCACTGAACCAAACCAGCCATGGCTTCATTTTTTTTTTTATAAATTGCTGAATAATATTTTATATTCTTTATCCATTTGTCTATTGTTGGACACCTAGGTTGAAAATCTTGGCCATTGTGAATACTGCTGCAATGAATATAGGAGTGTTTATATCTTTTCAAATTAGTGTTTTTGTTTTCTCCTGATAAATACCAGCATTTATCTCATCTTAAGTGGCTGGATCATACGGCAGATATAGTTTTAAAATGTTGAGGAACCTCCATGCTGTTTTCCACAGAGGCCACACCAGTCTGCATTCCCACCAACAGTGAATGAGGGGCCCCTTTTCTCCACACTCTCCCTAGCACTTATTTATTTATTGAGGATAGCCATTCTGATAGGTGTGAGGTGATAGCTCATTGTGGTATTAATTTGCATTTCTCTCATGTTAGTGATGTGGGGCATCTTTTTATATGTCTGTTGGCCATCTGTATGTCTACTTTGGAAAAATTTCTATTCAGGTCATCTGCCCATTTTAAAAAATGCTTTTTATTGACTTCAGAGAGAGGAAGGGAGAGGGAGAGAGAGAAACATCGATAAGAAAGAAACACTAATTGGCTGCCCCGTGCAAGCTCCCCACTGGGGATCGAGCCAGCAACCCCGGCGCGTGCCCTGACCTGGAATAGAACCAGTGACCTTCCGGTGCAGGGATGACCCCCAAACAACGAGCCATGCCGCCTGGGCCTCTGCCCAATTTTTTTGTTTGTTTGTTAATCCTCACCTGAGGATATTTTCCCTTGACCTTTTTAGAGAGAGTGGAAGAGAGAGGGATAGACAGAAACATCAATCTGAGAGAAACACATGGATCGGTTGCCTCCTGCATGCTTCTGACCAGCTCCCGGGCCTGGGAGGAGCCTGCAACCAAGGTACCCTTGACCAGAATCGAACCCGGAACCCTTTGGTCCAAAAGCAGAAACTCTATCCACTGAGCCAAACCAGCTAGGACTGCCCATCTTTTCATTGTATTTTTTTTGTTTTTAAAAAGTTGCACGAGTTCTTTACATATTTTGACTACTAACTCCCTTATTGAATATATGCTTTGCAAATATTTTACCCCATTTGGTAGGTTGGCTAATAATTTTGTTGATGGTTTCTTCATTGTACAAAACCTTTTTAGTTTGATGTACTCCCATTTGTTTATGTTTTGCTTTTGCTTTTGTTACCTTTGCTTTTGTTCAGATTCAGAAAATCATATCAGGACTTACATCAAGGGACTTATGGACTATGTTTTTTCTAAAAGTTTTATGGTTTCAGGTCTTACTTTTATATTTTATTTCAGAGATGAAGTGAAAGGGAAGAGATAGAAACATCCATGATGAGAATCATTGATCGGCTGCTTCCTGCACACCCCATACTGGGGATCGAGCCCACAAGCCAGGCACATGCCCTTGACATGAATCAAACCTGGGACCCTTCAGTCTGCAGGCCGACACCCTATCCACTGAGCCAAACCAGCTAGGGCTCAGGTCTTACATTTAAGTCTTTAATCCATTTTTTAAATATTTTATTTAAAAAATGTATTTGTATTGATTTCAGAGAGGAAGGAAGAGGAAGAAATAGAAACATCAGTGATGAGAAACATTGATTGGTTGCCTCTGGTATGCCCCCAACTGGGAATCGAAGCATGACCTCCTGGTTCATAGGTTGATGCTGAACCATTGAGCCACACTGGCTGGGCTAACCCCTCTTTTTTTTTTTTAAAGAACGTGAGAAAGTTTTTTTTTTAATGTGTTTTTATTGATTTATAGAGAAAGAGGTAGGGAAAGGGATAGAGAGATAGAAACATTAATGAGAGAAACATCATTGATCACTGCCTCCTGCATGCCCCCTACTGGGCATAGAGCCCGCAACCTTGGGCATGTACCCTGACTGGGACTGGGGATTGAGCCTGCAACCCAGGTACATGCCCTTGACTGGGAACCCAACTGGTGACCCTTTGGTGCATGGCCTGACACTCTAACTACTGAACACTCTAGCCAGAGCAGGAAGGGTTTCTGAAATCAGGAAACTTCGCTCTTTTTTCTCAGGATTGACTTGGCTACTCAGGGTCTTTGTGGTTCCATATAAATTTTAGGATTACTTTTACTTCTGTAAAAAATGTCATTTTTGGAATTTTAATAGGGATTGCACTGAATCTTTAGATGGCTTTTTAACAATATTCTTCCAGTACATGAACATGGGATACCCTTTCATTTACTTGTGTCTTTCAGTTTCTTTCATGAATGTCTTGTGGTTTTCAGTATACATCTCTTTCTCCTCCTTGGTTAAATTTGTTCCTAAGTATTTTGTTATATTTTTTATAGTTTAATGTATTTTTTAAATATATTTCTTTATTGATTTCAGATAGGAAGGGAGGAGGAGAGATAGAAACATCAATGATGAGAGAGAATCATTGATCGGCTGTCTCCTGCACACCCCCTATTCGGGATGGAGCCCGCAACCCAGGCATGTGCCCTTGGCCGGAATCGAACCTGGACCACTCAGTCCACAGGCTGACACTCTATCCACTGAGCCAAGCCAGCTAGGGCAGTTTAATGTATTTTAATAGCAAACTTAGGAACAGCACAGAAGATAACATTAAAAACATGTTTTGGCCTGGCTGGTGTGGCTCAATGGTTGAGTGTAGTCTCATGCACCAAATAGTCACCACTTCTATTTCTGGGCAGGGCACATGCCTGGGTTGCAGGCTTAATCCTCAGTAGGAGGCAGCTGATAGATCGATGATGTTTTTCTCTCTCTATCCCTCTCCCTTCCTCTCTAAAAAAAGTCAATAAAAACATGTTTAAAAAAGAAAAGAACAGTTGGAGGTGGCTAACGGCCCTTTCCCCAGGTCAGATAAGGGTTTGGCAAATTAATTTTCTTTGAGGGAGGACATAGGGTACAGAGAACAGAATGTTTCAAGATGTTTTTCTCCTTTGACTGTATAAAGCATGAGGCTTTGGGTCATTGAGTTAAACTTTGAGTTATTGGGGGTACCCTATGACTGGGCCCCAGAATATTCTCAAGCTAGTCCATACTGTGCCTCCAGCAGTTCATCTATTCCTGTTACCACAGTTTGCTGGCTCCGGTAGCTTTTGCTCCCAGTCAGTGGCCATTCTCTATATTCTCTTGTCCCTCCAGTTTTCAGGGCAGTGGTTTAGCCTATAGATTCAAATCTCTGAAGAATTTTTAGTTCATTCAGCTTTTTTCTTCTAAGAGCAGAAGCGGCTCATTTACTTCCGTTGCTGTGTTTCTCCCAGCTGCCCTAATAGCTCACATTATTTTTTAAAATATATTTTTTTTATTGATTTCAGAGAGGAAGGGAGAAGGAGGGAGAGATAGAAACATCAATGATGAGAATCATTGATCAGCTGCCTCCTGCACACCCTACACTGGGGATCGAGCCCACAACCTGGGCATGTTCCCTGATTGGGAATCAAACCGTAACCTCCTGGTTCATAGGTCGATGTTCAACCACTAAGCCTTGCCAGCCGGGCTCACATTATTTTTTATATCCTACCCAAGCCCTTGCAGTCTCTTATTGTGTTGAGATTAAAATGTCAATCACTTCCATCATCAGACAAAGCTATTCAGTGACCATGATGAATCAAAACAAAAATAAGGGTCTTTTTTTTTTTTTAAAATATATTCTATTGATTCTCCACAGAGAAGAAGGGAGAGGGATAGAGAGCCAGAAACATCGATGAGAGAGATCGATCAGCTGCCTCCTGCACGCCCCCCAGTGGGGACGTGCCCGCAACCAAGGTACATGCCCTTGACCGGAATCGAACCTGGGACCCCTGAGTCCGCAGGCCGACGCTCTATCCACTGAGCCAAACCGGTTCGGCAAAAATAAGGGTCTTTTGTAACCATCTCTCTAAAATTGGTAAGAGAACAATTTCAAATCATATTGATCCCATGTCGTCATTTGACTCCTCCGATTCCTCCTTCTCCTCAGCTGCAGCTTACATGGAACCATAAACGACACAGATTCTAGAGACTGTCACATTACCCAGTGCCAAACACAATTTAGGAGAGTCATCTCCAATTCTATATTTTATTGTCCAACAACAGATCTGTCTTAATGCAAAGCCTATTATTTAAGTCCTGGCCTGAAGGAATGACAAACAGCAATGTACAGTTGACCTTTGAACAACATGGGTTTGAACTCTGTAGATCCACTTATTCATGGATTTTTTTTTCAATTGACCTACACAGTCCAAACATCAGCTCCGAGGCTGTAGAGGGCTGACTGTAGTTACACTCAGATTTTCAACTATGTGGGAGGTCAGCACCTGTAACACCTGCATTGTTCAAGGATCAACTGTCACTCACATGAGACGATACTCTATGATAAACTTTGCAATATTTATAAATTTATGCCACTTTTTATTAGCAAGGAAAATGGAATAAGGGTCTTCTGGCCCAAACAAAGAGAGCAGTCTTCTCATAAGAAAGATGGAATATGTAAGGGGCAAGGACTATCCAGTACTTGGCACAGGAGGCCAGTAGGTAAATCCCAACAAATACCAAAATATCATTTATTAATTGCTCATTTACAAAACAATGGAAACATAAAAATTAAGCTTACCTGCATATTAAAAATACACTTCAATTTACCCATAGATCAAATAGTCTTCAAAATGGTAAGAGAAAAATGTTAACTGATTTAAGGAGGAAATACCTAGGTAGTATTGCTTGAAGAGTATTGCCGCCTCAACGTTCATTTTTGGAAGCAGTAAATATCCACACTTCAGAAGTCCACTTTAAAAATGAGGCCCTGATAAAGACAATACATTTATAACTTTTATAATAATTCTTTCATATTACAGTGTTCCGGAACATTATGTATGGATTAATTTACATCAGGCTTTCTCACATTACTAATATTTACAGGGTTTCATTCCAGTGGGAGTTTTCACATGTAAAGATGAAGGCCAACTGATGTCTTGTCCACATTGCTACATCCAAGAAGTTTCTATTTAGTATGAGATCTCTCATGCCTTCTAAAGGAACTGGGACGACTAAAGGCTTTCCCACACGTTTTACATTGGTATGGTTTCTCACCAGTGTGCATTCTCACGTGTCCTCGAAAGGTAGTACGGTAAATGAAGGCTCTTCCACATTCTTTACATTCATAGGGTTTTTCTCCAGTATGAGTATTTTCATGTGTTCGAAATGATGTGTAACAACTGAAGGCTCTACCACATTCTTTACATTCATAGGGCTTCTCTCCAGTGTGAGTTCTTTCATGTACCCTAAATGAACTAGGAAAATTGAAGGCTTTCCCACATACCTTACATTTGTAAGGCCCATCTCCAGTGTGCATTATCATGTGTGTTCGAACACTTGAGGAAGAAATGAAGGCTTTCCCACATTCTTTACATTTGTAGGGTTTCTCTCCCGTATGCTTTCTCATGTGTCCTTGAAAGGTTGTGCGGTAAATGAAGGTTTTTCCACATTCTGTACATTCATAGGGTTTCTCTCCAGTGTGTGTTCTTTCATGTATTCGGAAGGAACTGGGCCAACTGAAGGTTTTACCACACTGTTTACATTCATATGGTTTTGCTCCAGTGTGAGTCCTTTCATGTGATCGAAAAGAACTGGGACAAACAAATGCCTTCCCACATTCTTTACATTTATAAGGTTCTTCTCCTGTGTGTGTTATCATGTGTGTTCGAATGCTTGAGAGAGAAAGGAAAGCTTTACCACATTCTTTACATTCATAGGGCTTCTTGCCAGCGTGAATTCTTTCATGTATTCGTAAACCTAGAGGAGAACTGAAGGCATTGTCACAATGTTCACATTCATATTTTTTCTCTGCAGTGTGAGTCCTTTCATGTTTTCGAAAAGAACTGGGGCAACTGAGGGCTTTACCACATTGCTTACATTCATAGGGTTTTTCTCCAGTGTGATTTCGTTCATGTATTCGCAAACCTAGAAGAGATCTCAGGGATTTACCACACAGTGTACATTCATAGGGTTTCTCTCCAGTGTGCATTCTTTCATGTGCTCGAAATGAAGCGGAAGAACTAAAGGCTTTCCCACATGCCTTACATTTAAAAGGAGCATCTCCAGTGTGTGTTATCATGTGTGTTTGAAAGGTTGGGAGCCACATGAAGGCTTTCCCGCATTCCTTACATTCATAGGGTTTCTCTCCAGTGTGAGTCCTTTCATGTCTGTGAACAGATTTGTGGTAACTGAAGGCTTTCCCACATTCCTTACATTTATATGGCTTATCTTCATATTTGTGATACTCATAAGGTTTATGTCCAGTGTGAGATCTGATGTGTATATTCAGGGATGAATGGCGCACAAAGTCTTTTCCACACACCCTACATTTAAGTGATTGTCCTCCAGAAGTAGTTCTCTTGTTCAGATCAGGATTTGGAATTTGGCTGATGGTTTCTCCACACTGACTACCTCCTTTGCTTTCATGGAGTTTTTCTACCATATCACTTCTGTAAAAAATGAGAAGCATTATTAGTGATTTCTTTGTTAATTTCCTATTTATTAGTAGGGTTATTGGATTACATTTTTATAATTTATAACAAAAGTAAAGGTTTTTTGTCTTTTCTGAATTGTATACTGAATGCTCTGTAAAAGGACTAGACCTTGGTTATTATGAAAACAGTGATATTAATATATGAGGTTAAGGGTAAATAAATTGGAGTAGAAATTGTTTTATTTGCTTGTTTTTAAAAATCCATGACAGCCCTAGCTGGTTTGGCTCAGTGGATAGAGTGTCGGCCTGTGGACTGAAGGGTCCCAGGTTCGATTTCAGTCAAGGGCACATGCCTGGGTTACGGGCTCGATCCCCAGTAGGGGGCATGCAGGAGGCAGCCGATGCAAGATTCTCTCTCATCATTGATGTTTCTACCTCTCTCTCCCTCTCCCTTCCTCTCTGAAATCAATAAAAATATATAATAAAAAATAAACATAAAAAAATTAAAAATAAAATAAATATAAATCCATGACATACTAGAATTTTTTTTAAATATATTTTATTGATTTTTTACAGAGAGGAAGGGAGAAAGAGAGGGATAGAGAGGGAGAAACATCGATTCAGCTGCCTCCTGCACACTCCCCATTGGGGATGCGCCTGCAACCAAGGTACATGCCCTTGACGGGAATCGAACCCGGGACCCTTCAGTCCGCAGGCTGACACTCTATCCACTGAGCCAAACCGATCAGGGCCATACTGGAATTCTTATGTGGAACAATGCTGTTTATTGAGTGACTCACCGTAGTTTTCTCCCCTGGGTTTTGTACTGATATTCAATGTTATGATCTTCCCATTTTTTCTCTAAATGCACACCTAAAAAAAACAATTCCAAATTATTAGACGTTAGAGAAAAATTATTAGATTCTAAGTCCATGATGAGTTGTTACCATGCTTAGTTTATTTACTAATATACTCATTTTTCCACATCTTGAAACAACACTGATATGCAAGAAATACTTGTTCTTGGTCAGAAGAATGGCAGCGTGAGAGGTCCCCTTGGTTTCTCCCCTTAAAGTTTCCACAATTTGAACAGCTATCATTCAACAAAGGACTCCCTGCTCAATGCATAAACATGTCTGAGAGATCAAACAATGAAACATATGAAGGTGGGAAGTGGGAGCAAACTGGAAAGGTGGGAAGAAACAAGAGCTGAGATGGTGCCAGAGATGGAGCCTGGAGCTCACAGCCTGAAGCCCACTGCAGGTCTCAGCCCAGAGAGGGGAGGAATCAAGTGGCCACAGACATTCCCTTCAGCAGAGAGGAGCAGAGAGATACAATGAGCATTCCTGCAGGAGTGGTCAGTCCGTGCTGTGGTTGAAGCTAGTGACCTGTGCAAGGACATAGCACAGAGGTATGGCCACAGTTGTCTGGTAATCAGCAATTTCTCAAGAGAGAGAAATTACCAGCCAAGAATAATATATCCAGCAAAGTTATCCTTTAGATATGAAGGAGAAATAAAGACTTTTCCAGACACATACAGAAGCTGAGGGAATAAACCACAAGAAGACCCGTGTTATAGGAAATACTCAAGGGGTTATAATACCTGAAACAAAGAACAAAAGGTCACAAAACTATGAATAAGATCACCAACAGGCACACAGAAGCAGGATATTACAACCCCTTTTTAGAATAGGGTATTATACACTTAAATGTCACATAAAGGTTAAAGGAAGTAATAACATTAAAATAGAGAAAGAAGGCAATATCTATTGCAATTCAGAAATGAACTCACAGAGCAAATAGGGATAATTTGTGACAAAGGGGTATGGTAAGGTCTGAATTTGCAAAGACGGTGGGGATTAGATGCATTCAGAAGAGAAAGGGCTACTATATATATGAAACTTTCTTTTACATAAACCTAATTGTGACCACACCAGAAAGCAAAAAACAAAACTGAGACACATAACTTAAAAAAAGAGGAAACAGAGAAAAAAATATAAAATACCACCGAACAAAAACAACGGAGAGAAACACAAAGGAAAAGAACCAATGGAAAAAGAGGACACATGTAATACTTTCAACAATAAAGATTAAAAAAAGTAAAAAGAACCCATGGAGGCACACAGCTACCAGAAAACAAAGGATAAAATGGCTACAGGAAAACCACAGACAATAAATAATTACCCTACATGTCAATGGACTGGACTCACCAATAAAGAGGCACAGAGTAGCAGAGGATCAAAAAACAAATCCCAACCTTATGCTACCTTTAGGAGACACATCTAAGCTGCAAAGACAAACACAGACTCATAGTAAAAGGGTGTAAAATGATTCTCCAAGCAAACGGCATCCACAGAAAAGCAGATGTAGCCATACTTATATCTGACGAAATAGATTTCAAGATAAGAAAGGCAATGAGTGACAAAGATGGTCATTTTATAATGATACTAGTGGCCCCGTGCATAGATTTGTGCACATTGAAAGGAAATTAATTAGAAGAACTGCAGCTCGGCAGTAAACCAGATTCAGTAACCCATGGCCGAAGGTGGAATCATGTGGCCCCGTGAGGAATCAGGCTCCCTTCTCTCTGGTTCCGGGGTGCGTCACCTGAGAACCACCGCTGCCAAGTCACCACAGCTTGGCAGCTCCTGCGTTGAGCGTCTGCCCCCTGGTGGTCAGTGCACATCATATGTACTGGCCGGTAGCCCGGTCACTTAGCCTTTTATATATATAGAAAGGGGAAACTACCTCAAGAATATATAACACTTCTTGCTCTGGCTGGTTTTGCTAAGTGGTTAGAGCACCAGCCTGTGGGCCCAAGGGTTGTGGGTTCAATTCCTGGTCAAGGGCACCTACCTTGGATGCACGTTCCCCAGCCCCAGTAAGGGTGCATGCAGGAGGCAACCAACTGATGTCTCTCTCTCATGTCGATGTTTTTCTCCCCATCTCCTCCCTCCCTTCCACTCTCTCTAGAAATCAATGAAAAAAATATCCTTGGGTGAGGATTAAAAAAAATAAAAATAAGTAAATAAATGAAATTTTAAAAGAGAAGATACAATACTTTTCAATATATATGCACCCAATTAGGGAAGCACCAAAATATAAAGGAATTACTAAGAGAACTAAAAGGAGAAACTGTAAAAAACACAATTATAGCCTGACCGGTGTGGCTCAGTGGTTGAGTGCTGACTTATGAACCAGGAGGTCAGGGCACATGCCTGGGTTGTGGGCTCAATCCCCAGTAGGGGGCGTGTAGGAGGCACTCAATCAACGATTCTCTCTCATCATTGATGTTTCTCCTTGAAATCAATAAAAATTATAGGTAGATCATCCAAACAGAAAATCAATAAAGAAATATCAGCCTTAAATGACACATTAGATGAAATGGACATAATTGACATTTCCAGAGCCTTTCATCCCAGGACATCAGCTTATACATTCTTCTCCAGTGCACATGGAAGAATCTCAAGGATAGACCATATGTTGGGTCACAAAACTAGCCTCAACAAATTTAAGAAGATTAAACTCGCCCTAGCCAATGTGGCTCAGTTGGTTGGGCGTTGTCCCATGCACAGAAAGGATGCTGGCTCAGTTGCTGGCTCAATTCCTGGTTGGGGGAAATGCCCAGGTTTTGGCTCGATCCCCAGTCAGGCGTGGGCAGGAGGTAGCCAATTGATATTTTGCTTTCACATCAATGTTTGTCTCTTTCTCCCTATCTTCTCTCTAAAAATCAATACAAAATCTTAAAAAAAAGAGAGACTGAACTCATACCAACATATTCTTCAACCACAATAATTTAAAATTAGCGATCAACTGCAAAAAGAAAGCAAAAAAACCTACCCCACAAATATGTGGAGATTAAACAACATGCTGCTAAAAAATTGACAAGGTCAGCCCTAACCGGTTTGGCTCAATGGATAGAGCGTCAGCCTGGGGACTGAAGGGTCCCAGGTTCGATTCCAGTCAAGGGCATGTACCTTGGTGGTGGGCACATCCCCAGTGGGAGGAGTGCAGGAGGCAGCTGATCGATATTTCTCTCTCACCGATGTTTCTAACTCTTTATCCCTCTCCCTTCCTCTCTGTAAAAAAAATCAATAAAATATATTAAAAACAAAAATTGACAAGGTCAAAGAATAAAAGGTGAGATCAAAAGATAGAGACAAATGAGAATGACAATATGACATGTCAAAACTTCTGGATGCAGTAAAAGCAATAAAAAAAATACTTGATCTCTAACTGACAAATTAAGTAATAAAGTCATCATTCTTACCTATGGAGGCCAGGTTCCTGAAGGTTTCCCTCATCACATCTCTGTAGAGTTTCTTCTGTGAAGGATCCAGTAAAGACCACTCCTCCAGGGTGAAGTTCACAGCCACATCCTCAAAGGTCACTGAGTCCTAAAACATTGCAAATATCTATATAGTAGGATGCATCAATCTGACAGCACTGGGCATTTACACTCAATTTATAGAAGGGTTACATAGGATTCTGTGGTTTCTCAACATTTATTTTATGTCTTGGTCATCAGAAACACTCTGTCCATGCTTATTTCCTCATAAATTTAACAGCATTATGCAGTACTTGCATCCTCACACAAAATTACAACTGAACTACAGAACAACCATCATTTAGAACCACCTGATATCTAGCTGTACAGAAGTCCTACAACTAAGGATATTCAGAAGAAGCCACATCAAGATTGGTAGGAGGAGTGGAGATGTGGAATGGGGTAGTCCCACATGCACATTGTGGTTAAAAATCAGGAGGAATATCTCGGCCGCAGAGTTCCACCCTGATGAGCGAAGGGTTCTAGTGCCACACGAGACCCCCCAGCCCAGGATTCCAGTGCTGGAAAGAGGAGTCCCTAAAATTTCTGGCCACGAAAACCAGCTGGTACTGTGGCTGAGATGGAGTGTGGCTGCAGTCCCAGGTATTCCTCTTAAAGACCTGGTGCATGGACTTACACAGACTTACTCTCTCTGAGCTCCAGCACTGGGGTGACAGCTCGAAAGATGACAGGGACATACTGGCATGAAATGAATTGTCTGGCATCAGGGTGAGGGCTGGGGAAGGGCAGCTTTCTCCCAGACAGAAGTACTGGCAGAGATTATTTGTTCCTTTGATGAGACTTCCCCACCACAGTGCTACAGGCAGGGGCCATATCTGAGTCTCCATCAACCTGGCCTACACTTTTTGCCCAGCCCCGGTGATTCCCTGAGACCCCACCCCATCCAATTTGCAGCCCCACCCAAGCTGTTTGCAGTGGCTTTTCTATATGAATGGCCTGTCCTGGCTCAGGCTTCCACATATCTCTCAAACAAGCAGCAGCTGGCCTCAGCATGCCCCATACCTCTCGATAAGTGGCCCCAGGCCCGGCTCTAGCAGCAGCCCACCTTGGTTCACAGCTTGGCCTTCCTGAATACCTCCAAGATCAACACAAGTAGCAGCCATCTGCAAATTGCTCTGTAGCTCCCGCTGGGTGGCCCCAGACAGAGCACAGGCAGTGGCTGACTTTGCACCTCTCAGGAGGCTCCAAAGCCAATGCACCTGGTGGTCAGCTTCAGACCATGCAGATTACAACCCTACTACATCCACGAGTGATGTACTCAAGGGGCAGACTCAGCGAGCACCAAAGCACCAAAGCCCCACTGAAGCAAGTCTGGGGCTGACGCTCTAACCTCTGAGCCACCGGAAAGGAGAGCCTTTTATTAATTTATTTTTAATAATTCTTTATTGTTGAAAGTATTACATATGTCTCCCTTTTCCCCCCATTGACCCCTCCAGCCTTCCCCTGCCCCCAACCTCAGGCCCTCACCGTCCCATTGTTTGTGTCCATGGGCCATGCATATATGCATACAAGGTCCTTGGTTGATTACCTCCAACCCACCCACCTTCCCTCTGAGATTCCGCACTCTGTTCCATGCTTCCATGCTTCTGGATCCACTCCGTTCATCAGTTTATTTTGCTACTTAGATTCCACATTTGAGTAAGATCATGTGATATTTGTCTTCCTCTGACTGACTTATTTTACTTAGCATGATACAAGTAATTGAAGCACAAGTAATTGAAAAGGTTCCCTCACCTACGCAGCACCCTCCCCCTCTGCCCTGTACCTGCTTTCTTAAAAATTGTTTGTCAAGGAAAAATGCAAGTATTAAAGTTCTTCTCTAAAAATAGTAAGAGCCTTAGCCACCTGAACCAATAACTTAACTTATTCCAATTGTAATAAATTCGTGAACTTTTTGCCTTATTGTACCTGTCTCATGGCTGAAATTTTAAAAATGAAACTACCAGGTCTCTGGTTACATCTGATTATATATGTGGATATGTGTCTGCCTTCAGAGCATGTTAACAAAATTGGTTTGTAAAAAACTCTGTTTAATTAACTTAAAAATTAGGCACTTATATAAATGAAGAAATAAAACAAACTAACCAAAATGTTTTTCAGGCTCTGGAATAATACTTGGTGTTAAAGTTAATTAAAATAGGCAAGTCTTTAGAGTTATCAGAATTAAATGTAATACTTTTACCTACCTAGGATTACAAATGTATCAACAAAAATAACTTAGAATGATGGATGACTTGGCTTAACATCTCATAAAATTTTTGTGGGTAATCCAAACATATTATTGAGAACAAGTAAAATACATAGGTATGGACAAATAGTTGTTGTTTTTTTTAAATATTTTTTATTGATTTTTTTTACTGAGAGGAAGGGAGAGAGAGAGACAGTTAGAAACATCGATGAGAGAGAAACATCGATCAGCTGCCTCCTGCACACCCCCTACTGGGGATGTGCCTGCAACCAAGGTACATGCCCTTGACCAGAATCGAACCTGGGACCCTTCAGTCCACAGGCTGATGCTCTATCCACTGAGTCAAACCGGTTAGGGCTGGACAAATAGTTTTTAGGTGAAACTTTTTAGCAACAATTATATGTACTTAAAAATAGTTTCTAAAATCGTTTGCTAACTTGAAAGTTTAAAGTTTTGCTAGCTAAATTAACTAACGGAAGTAATTGAATATTCAGATCATTTTCAAATAAGATAAAATATTGGAACATTAATTGTTAAATAAGTATCTATTTTTGGCTTATTACAGAGAAACTAAAAGATAAATTTGGGTTTGTTAGTAAACGTGTCACACTGAAAGATTGTACTATTATAAGTACATGTGTTTCTTGAAATTATGAAGTATATTAATAAATTTGCCAATCTAAAAATAAAAAGTGCCCTGACTGGTTTGGCTCAGTGGATAGAGCGTCGGCCTGCGGACTGAGGGGTCCCGGGTTTGATTCCGGTCAAGGGCATTAATTGTTAAATAAGTATCTATTTTTGGCTTATTACAGAGAAACTAAAAGATAAATTTGGGTTTGTTAGTAAATGTGTCACACTGAAAGATTGTACTATTATAAGTACCTCTCTGTAAAAAATCAATAAAATATATTTTAAAAAAATAAAAAATAAAAATAAAAAGTGATGTATCAGTTCACAATAGCTTACCTAGTATTCATTAGAAATTGAGGTTTTGAAGGGTAGAAATTCCAATATATGTAATTAAAACTACTAGGAATAATAAGGGAAACAACTTTGAATGCAAGAAAAATATGTTTTTAGTAAAGGAAGGTATAAGGTATGAAAATGGATTTTTGAGGGAATGACAAAGGAAAGTTGTATAAGAAAAGAAATCCTAAGGGGAAAAATTTTGTGTATGATCAAGCTGGATAGGACTGAATAAATTTATTATAAGCTTTAGAATCAACAGTATACTTATGTAAAAATAAAACATGTTCTTTATCTGCTAAAAGGACAAAGTTTTCCTTTACAACTGGTAAGTTCTTTTTTTTAAAATACTTCTTTATTGATTTTAGAGAGGAAAAGGAAGAGATAGAAACATCGATGATGATGAGAGAAAATCATTGATCTGCTGCCTTCTGCACGCCTCACATTGGGGACTGATCCCACAACCTGGGCATGTGCCCTTATGGGGAATCGAACCATGACCTTCTGGTTCATAGGCCAATGCTCAACCACTGAACCATGCTGGCCAGGCGCAACTGGCATGCTCTTAATAAGAGATGATAAAGAGAAAGCAAAGATTTTGTGTTTTATTAAAATGATTGCCTGTGCTCTGTATCATCAGGTATTTGATTGCTTAGGTAAACCAATATTAAAAGAGCTAAATTCTGCTTACAACTATTTAACTTTCTGTATTTGCCTGTGAAGTCACCATGATTAATGGATAACTAAGTATTGTTTCACAGAGACCTATGATTATATTTGACCAAGTGTTTTAAAACTTTTGACAGTTTGACAAACTTCCCAAAATTTAAAAATTAAAGTATTTTCTTTTACCTGAAAATAACTTTGAGATTTTTAAGATGAAACATTTATTTATTTTTTTTTTAATTTGAAGATTTTTTTTAAATATATTTTTATTGATTTTTTTTTTTTTTTTTTACAGAGAGGAAGGGAGAGAGATAGAGAGAGTTAGAAACATCGATGAGAGAGAAACATCGATCAGATGCCTCCTGCACATCCCCCACTGGGGATGTGCCCACAACCCAGGTACATGCCCTTGACCGGAATCGAACCCGGGACCCCTCAGTCCGCAGGCCGACGCTCTATCCACTGAGCCAAACTGGTTTCGGCAAGATGAAACATTTAAAATGATCTTTCTCTCTTTCTAAATGGGGGAAATGAAAATAATTAGGCCTGTTTGACATGCTAATATACAAGGAAAGCTTTGTCAAATAAGGAATAATAATTATGTTGTATTTGTAAGCATTTATTACTCCCAAAATAGTATGCCCTAAAAATTATATAAAATTTCTAAAGATCTAAAATGTTCTATGTTATCATTTATAATTCTAGCTGTCACCTTAAAATGTTCAGACATGCACAGACAAGCACATTTCTTTATCAACTGTATTGTAATTAGATCTCTAATCATGTCATTGATAATCAGGAAATTCACTGAAATCAGAAAAATATTAAAAATTTAAAAATCAGGAAGGGCATACAGTCATGCGTCAATAGGTGATTCTGTTGCTGTGTGGCCATCAGAGTGCACTTATAAACCTAGATGGTGCAGCCTACTGAACATCCAGGCTATGAAGTATAGTCCATTGTTCCTACGCTAAAGCCTGTGCTACTTTACTAGATACTTTAGCCCGTGGTCGGCAAACTGCGGCTCGAGAACCACATGCGGCTCTTTGGCCCCTTGAGTGTGGCTCTTCCACAAAATACCACGTGCAGGCGCGCACGTATAGTGCGATTGAAACTTCGTGGCCCATGCGCAGAAGTCGGTATTTTGTGGAAGAGCCACACTCAAGGGGCCAAAGAGCTGCATGTGGATCGCGAGCCACAGTTTGCCGACCACTGCTAGGCAATCGTAACTGTAACATGTTGTGCTATGACATCATGACAGCTATGACACCACTAGGCAATAGGGGTTTTTCGGCTCCATTATAACCTTATGGGGACCACTGTCATACATGAACTCCGTTGCTGACCAAAACGTCATCATCTGGTGCATGACTGTAGTTGAAGCAAAGAGCACCATCAAACAACTGGTTTAAATGAAATCCATAGAACACTTCGTCCACGAACAGCAGAATATATACTCTCCTCAAGTTCACATGAAACATTCATCAAGACAGACCACCTTGCCCTGACCGGTTTGGCTCAGTGGATAGAGCGTCGGCCTGCGGACCGAAAGGTCCCGGGTTCGGTTCCGGTCAAGGGCATGTACCTAGGTTGTGTGCACATCCCCAGTAGGGGGTGTGCAGGAGGCAGCTGGTCGATGTTTCTCTCTCATCGATGTTTCTAACTCTCTATCCCTCTCCCTTCCTCTCTGTAAAAAATCAATAAAATATATTAAAAAAAAAAAAAAAAAAAAGACAGACCACCTTCTGGAACATAAAGTACACCTTAACCAATGTGAAAGAACAGAAATCATACAAAATAATGCTTTTAGATCCCAGTGGCAATAATATAGAAGTAACAGGAAAAGAGTTGGTAAACCCCCAAACACGTGGAAATGAAACAACACTTTTACTTTTTATTTTGAGAGTAAGTTTATTAAAGCTGGGAACAGTGAAATAAGGGAGGGCCTAGGGTAGAAGCAGCTTAGGCAAGGCTGCTTTGGCTCCCTAGAAAGGTTACAGGAAAGAAATGCCTGGGCAGGATTGCTTTGGCTCACAGAGAAGTAAAGGTCACAGCGACAGAGTGAGCCAAGGTGGGGCTGCTGTCAGCTCACTGAAAATCAGAGAAAAGGGGGCCCTGGAGACAGGTTCAGGGGGTTAGCCCAGGACAAGCTGCTGCCGCCCATTGCTGCCCTGGTGGCAAGTCTCCTGGGGACTTAGGGTTTAGAAGATGCACGCCTGAGAGGGAAGAATGGTGTGGGCGTGCTCCCCGAGGAAGAATGCTACCTAAACAACACTTCTAAAAATAACACACAGGATCCAACAGGTCTCTAGAGAAATGATAGTTCCTTTTGAATTACAGATGCTCCTTGATTTATGAAGGGGTGACGTCCCAATAAACCCATCGGCAATTAAAAATGCATTTAATACATCTAACCTACCAAACATTATAGCTTAGCCTGGCCTACCTTAAATGTGCTCAGAACACCGACATTAGCCTACACTACGGCAAAAATAACCTAATACAAAGCCTATTTTATAATAAAGTATTGAATAGCTCATGTAATTTATTGAATAATGTACTGAAAGTGAAAAACAAAATTGTTGTATGGGTATCACTTTCACACCAGTATAAAGTTGAAAATATGTAAGTCAGAGACCATCTCTAAATGAAATGAAAGTAGAACATATCAGAGGTTGTCTGCATGCAGAAGTAGTGCCTAGAAAAAAATTTATAGCACTGAACAAATACACTAGAGAAAAACAATGATCTACAATCAATGAAGTAAGCATCTCCCTGAGGAAACAATAAAAAAGAGCAAATTAAACCCAAAGTAAGCAGAATAAAATAGTCCAGTTCAAAGTGTGATGTAAGAGAAATCTTGAACTCATTTCCTCCCACAGATACAACCAAATCTACAGGTACACACAGAACAATTTCCTTGAAATAAAACACACATCAAAGCAGGTAGGAGAGGCTGAGATACAAACTTGCCATGCACCCTACTCCTGCTATAGAAACCCATAATTGGGATGGAACTGAAAACCCTAAACTTCTCCTTCAGGAGCAAAGATCTTGAACCCTACATCTGGTACCTCAACTTTTAATGCCTGCACCTGAAGATGTGCCCCTTTGAAAGCTAATGGGGCTGAATCTATGAGATCAACAAAGCTACAACAAACTGAGAAACAGTTCTTAAAGAGCTCATGTGTGGGGACTCACCAGCATTTTCCAGCAGCCAATTGAAAACTGCCCAGACTTTCTGAAAAGAGGCTTACTTGCTTATTTTAAACTAGTGTCCCGGTGCACAGATTCATGCACATTAGAAGAAATATTTTAATATTGCTATTCGCGTCTGAAAAGAAAATAGGATTCCACATCTATCTACCTACTCCAGGACTTCTGTGAGGATCAAATGAGATGAGGCACGGGGAAACGATTCACAAACATTTGGTTAAACTGTGAAATGTTTGCACCTGGCTATAAAGCAAACTCCAAAATGCTAGTTGCTAGGGAGAGGAAGCCGGGCGTTGCTGTGTGATGTCATTACCCGGTGCCCACAGCCACTGTTTCCTGGCTGGGCTAGGTTGTGGGTCGCATTTTGCACCATGGGTGTGGGCAGCGTTGGCTGAGACTTGGTGGGGTGTCGCTCCAGGGTGGTGGCAGGGCCTGTGTCCCACTTGGGGGAAGCCGAGTGTTGGTTTGTTGGGACCAGATCCGTGGAGCTGTTTATTTTTAAATGGCCAGTGTGCGTCATGGCAGCTTATGCGTTGAGCGTCTGCCCCCTGGTGGTCAGTGTGCGTCATAGCCACCAGTCGGACAGACACTTAGCCTTTTATTTTTTATATTTTTATTTTTTTTAAATATATTTTATTGATTTTTTACAGAGAGGAAGGGAGAGGGATAGAGAGTTAGAAACATCAATGAGAGAGAAACATCGATCAGCTGCCTCCTGCACACCCCCTACTGGGTATGTGACCGCATCCAAGGTACATGCCCTTGGCCGGAATAGAACCTGGGACCCTTCAGTTCGCAAGCCAACGCTCTATCCACTGAGCCAAACCAGTTAGGGCGACACTTAGCCATATATATATATATCTCCTTGGCCTGAGGGGCAGGTGTCTACTTTAATACAAATCTAGGGACCTACTGAAATAGTCCCCAAAGACAGAGGTCTGTGGGTGCAATGTCTGCACTCTTCCTCTGCCTCTCCTGCAATCCAACATCCTGCAGGACTTGTGCCCTTGGACATGTGCCCTAATTTTGCAGCTATCACCCGGGAAACAACTCTAGATCACCTGACTCTGGTGGACAGATTACCTGGCTCTGGGGCTTATGCTTGAGGATCCCAAAAGAATGTTAACAAATCAAGAAAGAGTTCTTAACTGGCTACCACAATGAGGGTACAGCAGAGGCAACAGACCGACATACCCAGTCTCTCTGTGAAAGAGGCCTATTAGCTTATCTTCATAGTTGCAGCCTGAAAGACAGGCATCTAATTTAACATACATTGGGGGCCTACTGAAATACTCTACAAGGACTGAGCCCAGCAGGTGCAATACTTACATTTTACCTCTGCCTTGCTCTAGCTTACCAGTATCTCCTCAGAGCTTTATACTTGGTGCCCCGGTTTTTCTGGCTGCTGCCCAGGAGACACACCAGTTGTCTAGCTCTGGTTAACTCGTGGGGCTTTCGTTCCTGGGTCCCACGAACCACAAAGGAGAAACTAGTCTTGGCACACCCTGCGACAGCAGGCTGAAACACTCCAGTCTTTCTGGGAAGGAGGCTTATTTGCTTGTCCAGGAGCTTTGGCCAGAAGGGGAGGCTTCTGTTTTGGCACACATCTAGAGGCCTATTGAGATATTCTCTAGGACAAAGGCTGGAGGTAACCATCTTTGCGCCCTCCATCGGCCTTCCTCTAGGCCAGTGGTTCTCAACCTTCCTAATGCCGCGACCCTTTAATACAGTTCTTCATGTTGTGGTGACCCCCAATTTCATTGTTACAAATTCAACATAATTAAAGCATAGTGATTAATCACAAAAACAATATGTAATTATATATGTGTTTTCTGATGGTCTTAGGCGACCCCTGTGAAAGGGTCGTTCGATCCCCAAAGGGGTCGCGACCCACAGGTTGAGAACCGCTGTCCTAGGGTGAGGATTAACAAAAAAAGATAACAGACATCAGAATATTACTACACCCATTTGGTAGGGGGGGAGGAAGGGGAAGGGAAACAAAAGTTTTGACTCATATATGTAACAATGAAATATTTTATTTTTTTCCTGATATTCACCTTTCTATTGCCTTTTTGTAAATACTTTTACTGTATCCCAAGCTCGAGTGATTTTAAAAAATGTTTAATTTATTGAAAAACTGTTTCAAGTGAATAAACATTTTTCTAAGTGACAAACCTAGGGAGGGGCAGGGCCGGGGCTGCGCCGACAGCACCGTCACAGGCGTCCCCGTCTCCGGGACGGTCACCTTCCCACAGCCGGTCGCTCCCTCAGGAACGGGCCTTCCCTCCAACCCGTCCCGGTGGCCATTCCCACCCTCCTCTCCGGTAAAACACACTCACAGATAAGTTCCCGAAGAGCCCCCGCGGCCCGGTGGGTGAAGACCACACACTGCGTCCGTGGGAAATGCTCCCGGAGGCAACTAGTTAATGACAGGCCGCGACTTGGGGGTGAGGCGGCTCTGGGACGGGGGACGGGGGCGGGGGGATCGGAAATGTCGGAGGAGGCGACGGAGGGGACAGGGGGTGCATCTTCCCTCTGCCTCCCGAACATTTGGAAAGTGAGGGGAAGACAAGGCCCCGGGGGAGAGAGAGGAAGGGGAC